CATACATACACCTCCCCACATAACACCCACCTACACACACGACCAAGAACACACACACACACACACACACAGGGAAAAACAACAAAGGTACAGTAAAATAATTCCGCCATATCAGCAGATGGTCTCCCTCAAGGCACACAACACCATGACACGTAAAATATCAAGTTCTGTGTGTGTGTATGTGTGTGTGTGTGTGTGTGTGTGTGTGTGTGTGTGTGTGTGTCTTACCTGCTCGCCTAGACACTTACCCTCTTCCCCTCACCTGCCAAACACACTCACCTTCCATACACTGTCATTAAGATCTCATTATCACCTGTCTCTCTCTCTCTCTCTCTCTCTCTCTCTCTCTCTCTCTCTCTCTCTCTCTCTCTCTTTACTACCATTCTTCTTCTTCCTCCTCCTCTTCCCCCCTCCTCCTTTCTCCTCTTCCCCCTTCCTCCCCACTCTTTCTCCTCCTCCATCTCCTTCCTCTCCCCCCTTTCCTCCCTACTCCTCCCTTTCCTTCTTATTTTTTTCTTCCTTAAATATGTCTAAACTTTTCTCAGGACTTTTAACCCTGACGGCTGAGTGTGACTTCCTTCCCATTACCCCTTCCTTCTTCTCCAGCCCTTCCCTCACCTTCACCTCCTCTCCTTCCTCTCTACCCTTCCCTTCCTCTCCCACTTCTCCACCTTTCCCTTCATTCCGCTCTTTTCTTTTCCCCTTCTTCCCTCCACCCCCCTTCTTCCCTCCTTTCCTCCTTCCCTCTCAGATAAATACTACGTCATCAACCTTCACTGCACTTCACTTTGCTCCCCTCTTGCCTCTCCCCTCCCCCCCCCTCCCTCCCTTCCTCCAACTTCCTAGATATTATATAAAAATCTCCGTAATAGTAAAATATTTCCCTAATTATATAAATAGTTCTCTATTTTATATCCAAATTTGTCCTAATTATTGAAAAATGTCCCTAAAATTTAACAAAATCTCCCTAAATATAATAAATTCCCGAATTATAACAATATTAAAAAAAATCATATGAAAGAAAAAGTAAAATAAGTAAAAATATATAACAAAAATTTTACTACACTAACCTAACCTAACCCGTCCATCTGAGCCACACGGGAAAATATTACTGAAACACATCCTTCGAGGCCATAAGATTCCCGAAAATCTTCAAGATCTTCTAAAATATCTTTAAGAGGAGTTTAACATCGCCTCGAGACGTTGGATAATCTTACCGCGATAAACTTAATATAAAAATCCTGATACACTTAAGATCACAAGTGTATCCGGGAAAAGTGTATGGTTCCTTTTTCTTAATTTAATCCTAGGGAATAAAGAGTTTTTTTTTTTAATTAATGTGAGAATATTTTTAAGTGGAATCAGTTAAGGGACAAGCTTGAGTTTCCCCAAAGTTAGGGTACAAACACGAAGAATTTCCCCAAACATAATCCTATAACACGAAGAATTTCCCCAAACATAATCCTAAAACACGAAGAATTTCCCTAAACATAATCCTAAAACACGAAGAATTTCCCCAAACATAAGCGCCATCACGAATTCTCACACAGCCACACGTGATTCAATATTTCCCCACCAACCTTGACACTCCTAAAAATTCCCCTGAAACGGATTCACTTAACTATGACGGACACAAAAATATGACCTTAATTCCCCCCCCCCAAAAAAAAATTTCCCCACGATTAATTAGTTTTAATCTTACCTGGGGAAGAGACAATGCACCTGTCGGCTTCACTTAACGAACAGCAAAAAAAATGAGTTACTGGAGGAAGTAAATATATAACAAAAATAAATAAATTATGCAAATAACTTTCTCAATTTATACGGGTCATGATACTTCCTCACACCCATCCCCTCCTTCACCCATCCCTCCCTCACCCACCCCTCCTCCACCCACCCCTCCTCCACCCATCCTTCACCAACCCCTACTCCTCCACCCATCCCCTCCACCCACTTCCTACCTCCACCCATTCCCCCCAGCTTATTTCACCTGATGATTAAACACTCTAACGTTACCTGGGGGGCGGGGCGAGGTGAGGTGAGGTGAGGTGAGGCGAGGTGAGGTGAGGTGAGGCGAGGCGCAGTAACATATTATAACATCACAATAACAAAATAACAAATAACTTTAAATGTTCTTCATTGTGTATAAAGTTATGCAAAAAATTCTACAACAATATCTTATGTTTTTAATTTATTAATATTTACAAAGTATTCATGGGACACTTAAATTTCCCGCCGGTGTCATATATTATGTAAATTACTTTTTAACTGTATTTCTTTTCTTTCTTCTTGTCTTAGGTTAGGTTAGGTTAGTTAGGTTGGGTCAGATAAGGTTAGGTTGGGTAAGGTTAGGTTAGGTTAAGTCAGGTCAGCTCAGGTCAGGTCAGGTCAGGTTAGGTTAGGGTATGGGTGTTTTAATTAGTAGGTGAAATACGCTGGGGTGTCTAATCTTCACGTGATCCTAATTAACGATGCCCTTAATATTCCGTTTAGCTCTATAATTGGCCCATTAGAGAGGCAATATACTTAATTGACCAATACATCACTAACCACATGGGATAACGGTTCAGTGGTGCTCATTACTGTACACTACGGCTCAGTACTACACCTAAGTACCTTCCCTTCATCCCCTAACTACCTTCCCTTTAACGACCATTCAGTCTGGTGGCACCCGTTCACAAGTGGGTCAACCAGGAGTGCCTCAGGAGATAACCAGAGAACCTTATGGGAGCGTTTACATCTAGTCAATTTTAATTTATCACTTTAAATATACTTTATAAATAATCTTATTGTTTTGGACTTATTATTCCACTCAATGATACTTCTTTAATCCCCCATCCGTCAATAACAACAAGTAAATGATAATATATATGTTTTTGTTTATATTGAATTGTATAAGACTATCACTGGTAAAATTAAAGGTTCAATAACGTATAAGAATTTTTTTTTATGATAACTGCGAAAAAAATAATGTACATCTGATAATTTTTTCTCCAGATATTAAAAGGTCAAGTCAGAGGCCCATATGGTTAATAAAACTGATTTAACATCACAAAACTGTTGGAGAGACTTGCAGATGATGGCGGGAGACTCAGCAGGCGCCAGGGAGACTAGCCCGCCTCTGGTCCAGTAATGCTGCTGCTCCCACTCACTCAACTTAACGTGTCAACAAAACTGCCAAACTAATCCTGAAATGACTTTTACAACATGTCACTGCTGGGAAAAAAAATAAATCACTTTTTTTTATCTCTCTCGGCGTTTTTTTTTTTTTAGCACATCCAGAATACCAATATTTAAAAGTTGGTCTGAATGGAAACTCAATTATGGATGTGTGGGAAGCATTACGCTGACTGGGTGGCCCCTGGCAGGTCACAGAGGCTGAATGTTACTTGAAATTCCACGGACTTTTATATTTATTTATCTCGACCCAATTACGCTTGCAGTCCCTCCCCAGATATTTACGCCCTCATAAATCCCAACACAACACAACTACGAAAATGATAACATCTTTAACACAGGTTCAAACATTTTACGAGTATCATAATTTCACGGGAGAAGATAGAGAAATGATTCATGCTGGCATCTTGAAGCTCTTAGGGAGTTAGTGAAGACGTGTGAGTGGGGGATCCATGAAGAGTGACGTCACACACACAAACACACACACACACACACACACACACACACACACACACACACACACACACACACACACACACACAGAAAGCAAATAAAATCCATCCAAAAAATTAATAAAACAACAAAAATGAAACCACAGACAAGTCCTAACAAGAAAAATATTCAATTAGCTGCCTCACTAATACAAACATTTAGTTAACATCGGTAGTCACTGTGTGTGTGTGTGTGTGTGTGTGTGTGTGTGTGTGTGTGTTTATGTTTTAATGTATCATTGCACTTCATTATGTTATTGCTATAATGAACACATAATAAATAAACAAACAAACAAACAAAGTCAAGTACATCATATCATAATGGAGTCTCTCTTACTAATATCTATACAATATATGTTAATACCGTCATCCTGCTGCATATAATTCCAATAAAACTAACCTAACCAAACCTGACCTTACCTAACCTGACCAAACCTGACTTGACCCGACCCTGACCTAACCTAACCTGACCCGACCTAACCTGACCCGACCTAACCTGAACTAACCTAACCTTACCTATCCTGACCTAACTTAACTTAACCTAACCTGACCTGACCTAGCCTAACTTAACCTAACAATATTTTATGAGTAATCCCTTGAGCACTATAACTAACGGCACTTAAGTCATCATACTCAAGGGGTTAAGTTATCGTACTCAAGTTAAATACAATTAATAAAGACTAATTAACACAGATAATATAAATAATTCACTTCATCAGAATAAAAAAAAATATAAATTCAATTCATATTTCTAAGACAAATTTCTTCACTAAAAATTCAAATCATTAACCTTTTAAAAATCTTCTCAAGACGAGCGATTAATACCCATCCCCTTGTGAATACCTGCCATAAACCCCACTTACGACGCGGGACAATACAATCGTTAACATCTTAACCACCAGGCGTAAGAAGGACCTAAGTCACCTGCCACCCCGTCAAGGAGAAATTCACCCTTATGTAACAAGTCCATAAAGGTGTTAAGTGGATAGTGGAGAAGGGGATTGGGTACGAACCTTCGACGATGTCCCCTGGAGTGGTATTGTGATTATGGTAATTACGTAGTTGGCTCGTAATTGGCTGTTAGCTCGTTGAATGACACGGAGAGGAGAAGGAGGAGGGAGAAGGTTTAGCGAGATTTCTTGTTGGAGAGAGAGAGAGAGAGAGAGAGAGAGAGAGAGAGAGTGTGTGAGTGAGAGAGTGTGTGTGTGTGTGTGTGTGTGTGCATGTGTACGTGTAAAAAACAGATCTATTTACAGTACACATCAACCAACCTAACCCCGCCCACCATACCGTAACCTTACTTCATAACACAGACAGGTAAAGGGAACTCACCTGGAGAAGTTGGTTGCGTGTTGGTTGTGAACGAAGACCTTCTGGTGGAATGGCCTGGCTCTGCCCTTACCAGCCAGGTGGAGGAGGGTGGAGCGGTTGTGTGGAAGTGGCGCCCTCTCATCCACCTCATAAGTTGGTACCACGAACGCACACCTGTAGAACCCCACGAGCTTATAACACCTGGGCATGTTAATTAAGGTCTATATAATAACACCTGTACATGTTAATTAAGGTTTGTTTTAACACCTGTACCACCACACGGGTAAACATCACCCGTATACATTAATTAAGGTGGTGTAAATTAAGCTGTGGTACCAGGTGCATTAATAACATGCATCTACCAGGTGTATATACTAGTTAATTACCTGTGTGACCAAATGGCTTCAGTACACGCGATAGACGAACAGAAAAATGACGATAAAATAAAACACAGACTTTCAGACACGGACAGAAACAAACAGACACAGATATATATACAGACACACACACACACACAGACACAGACACACACAGACACAGACACACACAAAGGCATACTGATCGAGAGAAAACACCCATGAGGTACATATTTATCGACCCAAACACACGTGTATGCGAGTATAGGCGAGTGTAGTGTATGTATGTGAGTGTATAGGTGTGTGTGTACTGTGTGTATGCATGTATGTTGAGTGTGTATGTGTACCTTCACCACACCACAACTCTCCGTACACACCTCATTGACTCTACGCCACACTGAACAAGTGTACGCAATAAGGCACTTGTACTCGGCCATGTGAGGCAATTCCAGGATTTTTTGATTTTTGTTTTTGAAATTTCTAAACTTTTCACTTAATTCTCTCTCTCTCTCTCTCTCTCTCTCTCTCTCTCTCTCTCTCTCTCTCTCTCTAGATCACATGAAGATAAGACACTCAAGCTTGTTTCACCTAGAGATTAACCAACTTAACCTCACTTAATCTAACCTAATTGACCTGTAATTGACCTCGTGCCTATAGCCTCAGTGACTGACCATAACTTTGACCCCATAGTTATGATAAATGACCTGTATTGACCTCCCACCAGGTGAAATAATATTAATTAACTTTTTTTCTTCAGATTAACCTCAACTGACCTACTACCACCCTCCTTCCTCCCCTCCTCGTGACCTAGTAAATAGTGGCACTGGATCCTTTGACGTCACGTTAAAGAACTACAGCTGATATGACAACTATGACACCCCAATGTTCACTCACACACACACACACACACACTCACACTCACACACACACGCACACACACACACACACACACACACACAGGGATGGCGTTAACCTCCTCCCCATTTCAACATTACTGAAAAAAAACACGACACACAATTCTTGCACAATTTTTATTCGCCACTGAAGTAGTTTTATTAGAGACTGCTCCATAAAGTGATTTGTCCTTGAGGGCCGATTATCAGGCATTAGCAGATTGGGGTAATGAGGTCACTGGCTGTTATAATGAGACACTTCCTTCTTCCTCCTAGTGATAGTGACTCCCATGGGCATAATGTATATAAGACACTGCACTGTATAGCATCTTCTTCCCCCAACTGTAAAATCAGGTACCTATTATGAGTTGGGTTTATTAGGCGTGTCTCGGGGGCTCGAACCAGTGTACCTTTGAGATAAGAGGCGAGAGTTGTATCTGCTTTTCTTCTACACAGACAGACAGATACAGACAGACAGAGAGACAGACAGAGAGACAGACAGACAGACAGACAGACAGATACAGAAAGACAGACAGACAGAGAGACAGACAGACTACACGACACTTACTTCTTACACCTGGTGGCTGTGTTGGAGACGAGGAAGGCTGCCAGGTTATCAGAGAGGCCAGGTATAGGTACAATATCCACATCGGCGAGGAATACCCACTCCGTGCCACAATTCTTACGGGCCACATTCCGCAAAACGTTCTGTGGATACGGCATCCGCTCCCGCCACATCAACATCTGGATGGAAGAACGAATGTGTGGATATTAGTAATTTTGGAATGTGGATATTAATAAGTTTTCAGGTGATCGTGTGTGGATAATAAGAGTAGTGGATGTGATAGTGTGGATATTAATGGATAAGAATGTTGGGGATGCTTGCGGTTAGTTGGATGTGAATGTGTGGATATCAGCAGTTTGTTGGATGTGGATACTTGGATATTTGAAGATTAGTTGGTGTAAAAAAAAATCAGAGACTAAAACAACAACAGAACAACAACAAAAGCAAAACAAAGGAACAAAGAAAGCAAACAAAATCAAGAAATGGAACAAAAATAAGTAAAAAACAACAATAATAATAATAAAAATAAAAACCATTGTGTGGATTTATGGTAAAGATTAATTTTGCTCTCTCTCTCTCTCTCTCTCTCTCTCTCTCTCTCTCTCTCTCTCTCTCACTTTATCGCTTTTTTATCACTTTCTTGTGTGTTTCTTGGTCTTTTTTGTTTCTCCTCTTTCGTTATTGTTGTTGTTTTTCTTGTCTTCTTATTTTCCCTTTTTTTTAATTTTTTCTTCTTTTCTTCCATTTTTATTGTTATTTTTCTTGTTTTCTTTCTTTCTTCTTTCTCCTCTTCCTTCATTATCGTCAATTTCATCTTCTCCCTCTTTCATTATATCAATTTTCACCGTCTTCTTCTGGCGTTATTACTGATTACTTAACTTCTTTCTTTCTTTATCATCATCACCATTTGTTTCTTCCCCTTCTTCTTCATCATCATTATTCCTCTTTCGTAATATCTCAACATTGCTTTAATTCCACCTATCATCATCAATTTCTTCTTGTTTCCCTTCTTCATTATTCCCTCACACACACACACACACACACACACACACACACACACACACACACACCTTAAAGCATCAACACCACCAAATCGTCAAAAGACCAGTACTAATTGGCAGCTCATCATTAACGAGCCTTATCATTGGTGCTCACGTCCAGATGAACCTTGTGATTGGTGGCTCATGTGATGGATTCGTCCAATCAGAAACCGTCTAAGAGTACTGTTCTACTTCCTGGTTTTGATAATCGAGCCAATAAACGATTGTCCTCAGTACACGAGTTTTCAGTAACATTAATATACAGTCAATTTTAAATCACCAATATAAACTAACATCCCAACAATTTTGAATTTATTAACATCACTGAGTTTCATTTGCGTCGTCGATAGAAATATTTAAAAATAATATATCTATTCATTAAGCAGTACGATATCTTCCACCCTAGACTGGCAACGTCGAGCCTTTGTATGTATAACCAATGGCTGATTTCCGGTCACCCCCTGTCAATATCAATCAGGGAGGAGGGTGGAAGGAGGGTGAAGGAGGAGGTGAGGGAGGGGGGTGAAGGAGGGGTGAAGGAGGGAGGTGAGGAAGGGGGGGGTGAAGGAGGGGGAGGAGGGGTGAGGGGAAGGGAGGGTGAAGGAGGGAGTGAGGAAGGGAGGGGTGAAGGAGGGGGTGAGGGGAAGGGGAGGGGGTGAAGGAGGGGGGTGGGGAAGGGAGGTGAAGGAGGGGGGGGAAGGGGTGAAAGGGGGAGGGAGGGGGGTGAAGGAGGGGGAAGGAGGGTGAGGGGGAAGGAGGGGGTGAAGGAGGGTGAGGGGAAGGGGGGTGAGGAGGGTGAGAGGGGGTGAGGAGGAGGTGAAGGAGGAGGGGTGGGAAGGGAGGTGGAGGGAGGTGAGAGGGGAGGGTGAAGGAGGGTGAGGGGGAGGGAGGGGAGGAGGATGAAGGAGGGGGTGAGGAGGGGGACGTGATCTTGTTTAATTTGTATTTTTCTCGTTTGTGGAGGGTGGAAGAAGAGGTGAGACAATGAAGGAATGAAGGATAGAGAGAGAGAATGATTGATGAGGGAAAAAACATGTTATAAAAAAGACGAAGGAAGAAAATGGGAGAGAGAAAGAGGAGGGAGAGGAGAAAGAGAGGAAGGGGAAGGAGACAGGAAAAAACGGTTTTGTGTGAGAGAGAGAGAGAGAGAGAGAGAGGAGGGGGGTGTCCAGGTTGACCCAGATTGATGGCTGGAAATGGGCACTTTTTTGTGGTGGACAGGTAGGGCGGAAGTGGGTTAGGCGTGGGTTTGACAGGGTTAGGACGTTGGGACATGGGTTGGACATGGTTAGGACGTGGGTTGGACAGGGTTAGGACGTGGGTTGGACAGGGTTGGACGTGGGTTAGGACGTGGGTTGGACATGGGTTGGACGTGGGTTGACATGGGTTGATGGGTTGGACATGGGTTGGGACGTGGTGGACGTGGGTTGGGACGTGGGTTAGGACGTGGGTTGGACTGGGTTGGACGTGGGTTGGACAGGGTTGGGACGTGGGTTGGAGGTTGGGACGTGGAGGTTGACGTGGGTTGGACGGTTGGACGTGGGTTGAAGGGTTGGACGTGGGTTGTGGGTTGGGGTGGGTTGATGGTTGGACGTGGTTGTTTCCTCCTGTCCCCCCTTCTCCTCCCCCCTCTTCCCCTCACCCCACCCTCTTCCCTCACCCACCTTCTTCTCCCTCCTCCCCTCTTCCCCCTCCCCACCCTTTCCCCCACCCACTCTTCTTCTCCCCTCCTCACCCTCTCCCCCCTTCTCCTCCCCACCCCTCTTCCCCCCCTTCCTCCTCCACCCCCCCCCCCCCTTCCCCCCCCCTCTCCCCCCCCTTCCCCTCCCCCCTTCCCACCTCTCCCCCCACCCCCCCTCCCCCCCCCTTCCCTCCCCACCCCCTTCCCTCCTCCCTCTTCTCCTCCCCCTTCCCCCTCCTCCCCCCTTCCTCCCCCTTCTCCCTCCTTTTTTTTGTTTTTTTTTTTTTTTTTTTTTGTTTTGTTTTGTTTTTTTTTTTTGTTTTTTTTGTTTTGTTTGTGTTTTTTTTTAGAGAGGAGAAGAGAGAGAGAGAAAGAGAGAAAGAGAGGGAGAGAGAAAGGAGAAAAACAGAGAGTAATAGAAGAGAAGGAGAGAAGCAAGTAAGATAGGGGGAATAAGAGAGGAATGGTAAAACAGAGAGAGAGAAAAATAAAAGGGGGAGAGGGGAGAGTGAAGAGGAGGAAAGGGAGAGAAAAAAAATGAGAGGGAAAGGCAACTTAAGGGAAAGAGGGGGAGATAATGAGGTATTGTCCACCCCCTCCCCCCCTCCCCCCCACCCCTGGGCATGGCCCCTCGAGGGTGAGAGAGAGAGAGAGAGAGAGAACATCAACTACAGAGAACAAACATCAACACCATAAGTAAAAACACGAACAAAAACAATAATAAAAACAAAAACATAATAATCACCCATCTTGACCTATGATAATGTTAGTGGGGCTAAGAGGGTGCTAAGCCACAGGTTACAACAAAGGTGATTTTTTTAGCTTTCTTGACATGTCATTATCGACCATCCTGCTTGACGTCTTCCTGTCAACCTCACTCCGGGTATAAATATTAATACCTAGAACAAGGTTATGTAAGAGGTGCGGTGGCTGAGTGAATAGAACGCTCATTTTGTGTCCTAAAGGGTCCTTGGTTCACGGTGGGGGGGGGCACTCCTGGTCGACCTATCTGAGAATGGGTACCATGACTTTACCGTTTGGGAAGTGAAGATGGTCGAGTGCAGTACTGGCCATGGTGATAGGTGTGTGAGATGTGTGAGAGGTGTGACAGTTATGTGAGAGGTGTGTGACAGTTGTGTGAAAGGTGTGTGACAGGTGGATGACAGGTGTGTGACAGGTGGATGACAGGTGTGCACTAATGACATGGTGACACATGTCCTTCCGGTATCTAACACATTTTTATTTCCCAGGAAACGATAATTAATATTGTCTCTCTCTCTCTCTCTCTCTCTCTCTCTCTCTCTCTCTCTCTCTCTCCCCTCTTCCCTTATCACAAATTTCGGTTGGAAACACCCTCATTTAATTAAGCTGGGACAAATATTTACAGTTTGCTCAAGACGCTGATACACCACACCACCACCACCTACCCACTATACCACCACCACCATCCTGCCACGCCGCCGCCACCGCCACCACCACCACCACCCACTGCCACCACACCACCTGCCACACCACCGCCACCACCACCACCGCCACCACCACCACTACCACTATCCTGCTGCCTGCCTTTCTACCACCACCGCCACACACCACTACACCCACACCACTACCCACCACACACCGCCACCACCACACCACCACCACCGCCACACACCACCACCACCTACACACTATCCTGCCGCCCGCCCTGCCACCACACCACCACCACCTATTCTGTTGGTGGACTGCACTGCCGTATTAACAGTCAAAAATCTCCCCTTTCATGTCAAATCAAAGTGGTTTTATTATGAGTTCTATTCACAATTAAGTAAACACAGATTGATAATGGTTAGGTTAGGTTAGGTTAGGTTAGGTTAGGTTAGGTTAGGTTAGGTTAGGTTAGGTTAGGTGGTAATAATCAGACCGTGGCGTCATGGTACAATTCTACATGGCGGCGGAGGAAAGATGACAACAACACAATACTGCGGCAGTGACGTCAACGCGCCGACCAATAAACGTCCATTATGGCGATATAAGCAACCAGTGACGTCATGACCCACAACAAGATTACTGTAGCGTTTAATATCAGTCTCTTAATGATACTTCTAACTGCCTGTATAAATGACCTAACTACTCTATTATCTCCTAAATGAGAGAAATAGTCAAGCATATATATAGTCTGTCAGTCATTTAACCTCACCTATCTAACCCTCCCGATATCAGAGGAAAAACCCCGATATCAGCGAAAAAAAACCGATATCAGAGAAAAAACCGATATCAGAGGAAAACCCCGATATCAAAATAGACACAAAAATTGGATCTACGTCAAATTTACCTACAAGTTTTATTAGATAGAACAATTTACACTATTAACATAAGAGCCATTTACTAGTACAAATATATTAACATTTCAAAAGGTTTCCGGCAAAATAATTTAATGGTGGAAAAAAGTAAAAAAAAAAAAAAGATTCAATATCAAAAGACCTGATAAATGAGGTAATATATTTGTTATAAAGAATTGTGGTTATTAATGGGTAGGGGGAAGGGGGAAGGGGAGGGGGAGGGGGAGGGGGGTGACAGGAGGAATAGGAATGGGAGGAGGAAGGAATAGGGGTGGAGGGAGAATGATGGGGATTGAGGGAGCAGAGAGGGGTGGGGGAGGAAGGTGGGGGTGGAGGGGGGTGGGGGGGAGGGGAGGGAGGGGGGTAGAGGGGAGGGGGGATCCAGAATTACCCAACCAAAAATATTCTAATAATCTTACAACTCAGTAATTAAGTCTTAAATAGCGAGAAGTGACGTGCATACTGATGTGGGGTAGGTGGGGTGTGGGGGAGGTGGGTGTGTGGGTGGGCAGGTGGGAAGTGGTGGTGGGGTGGGCAGGTGGGAAGTGTGTGGGTGGGCAGGTGTGGGGAAGTGTGTGTGTGGGTGGGCAGGTGGGAAGTGTGTGTGGGTAGCAGGTGTGGGAAAGTGTGTGGGTGGGGCAGGTGGGAAAGTGTGTGTGTGTGTGGGTGGGCAGGTGTGGGAAGTGTGTGTGTGTGTGTGGGTGGGCAGGTGGGGGAAGTGTGTGTGTGTGGTAAGAGAGGGGGAGTTGTGTGTGTGTGTGTGTGTGTGTGTGTATATTCCAACCAACCAAAAGACAAGCAAGCAAACCAAACAACTAAATCCAAACAAACAAACCCTACCATGCAAAACACCTTTACACTCCTAATAGCAGAAGTTAATTTCAACAAGAGAAAAAAAACAAACAGGACAAACAGATAAAAAACACCAGAGGAAACTTTTTGCACTAGACGACATTTGGGGTCCAGCAACAACAAAAACACAAATAAAAGAAAATAAGAGAATTGATAAACTTCGGGATAATTTACATCTTAGGACACACACACACACACACACATACATACATACATACATACATACATACATACATACATACATACACACATACATACATACATACATACATACATACATACATACATACATACATACATACATATCTATATATACTGTATTCATACAGACAAAAATTTAAAAGGATTGTCGACGATAAACCTTTACATGCCCTGTAAACTTCCACTCCCTGCCCTCACCCTTCCCTCTTCCCTCACTCTTCCACCTCACCTCTCCTCTTCACTTTTCACTCCTCCACCTCCTCCCTCCCATCTTCTCTCCACCCTTCATTTCCTTACCCTTCCCCCCTCCCATCCTATTTTCTTCCCTTCTCACTCCTCCACCTCCTCTTCCCATCTACTCCCTCATCCTCCATCTCTTCCCCTTCCCATTTATTCTCCTCTCCCATCTCCCTCACGCCCCCCCCCCTCCTCCCCTGCCTGAGAACATAGCCAGCATTTGGGAGTAATATTCAGAATTCGAGCGTATATTTCTCGCCCTCTTCATATCGAGGAGCTCAGCAAACAACACTGGTTTATATTGCTTCATCTCACTGCTTCATAATGTTTCGTTTCTCCGCCTTCCTTCCTTCCCAGTTGGTCCAGATACCTTCGTTCAAAAGCACTGAATAAATATAGTGGTTTATCAGCAAATCACATAATAAGATGCTTCGATTCGCTGTCTCGGTGGTTCGGATCTGTGGTTCATAGAGGCGAAACAGTGAACCATTTTAGTGTTTCTATGAGGGTTAAATTCAGGTTTAATTCGCTGTCTCGCTGGTTAGGATTAGTGGTTCATTGAAGAGAAACACATTGAATCATTGGAGTATTTCGTTCGTCTCGTTAAACTGGTTTGGGTCCGTTCGATAACAGCAGTGATTCGTTATAGTTATACATAGTTCTATTTCTGGGTTCATAATTTGGTTTCGATGCTTCAAATATTGTTCATAATGTAGAGTACAACAACTAATACAAACGAAGCAGTTACCATTCTCTTCTCTTCCTATTCTGCTTCATATTCGTTCGTTTAAGACACTGAATCAAAAAAGGTTCACTCAAAACTTCAAAACAGTGAAATAACAAAGATTCCCAATATTTCAAAACAGCGAACAATAAAGGTTTATTCAATACTTCGGGTTTTTTTCTGAGTTATTTCCACTATTACTCTTTTTTTTTCACATTTGTTCGTTCGTATCGTGAATTCCATTGTTTTATTAAATGTTTCGTAGTGTTTCGTTATACTAGAAGAAGAAGAAGAAGAAGAAGAAGAAGAAGAAAGAAGAAGAAGAAGAAGAAGAAGAAGAAAAAGAAGAAGAAGAAGAAGAAGAAGAAGAAGAAGAAGAAGAAGAAACCTGACATCATCAATACTATTCTTCCATACACTCCCTCCTTCTCCTCCTCCTCCCTACTTCCTCCTCCTCCTCCTCCCTCCTCCCTCCTCCTACTCTTCCTCCCTCCCTCCTCCTACTCTTCCTCCTCCTCCCTCCTCCTCACAGATCTCAGCGTCATTTGGTTAGTCTCAACATAACTTTCGTGTAATATTTTTAAGCCATTTTTATTTTTTTTACACTTGTTGGAAGTTGACCATGCCATCACGCTACCATCCTCCCTCCCTCCCTTCAACCTCCTCCTCCTGCTGCTGCTCCTCCTCCTCCTCCTCCTCCTTACCTTCCTTCCCTGCACCTCTCCTGCCGCATATATTTGACTACTAAAAGTTGACCCCCTGAATCTCATGTCCTCCCCTTATTCTTCCTTTCCCCCCCTCCTCTTCAACCTTCTCCTCACCCTCATCTTCTTCCTTCCTTCCTCCTCCCTTACTCCTTCCCTCCCACCTATCTTATCCTCCCCCTCCTTACACCTTTTACCAAGTAACATATTTCAAAAGTTTGTGGATTTTTCACCAGTAACCACTTAAGTGAACCTTTGAACTTGGAAAAAAAAGGCGATGCTCCACTAACGCCGCCAAACTTTAATTATAAATCAGAATTGTGGGCGTGCAAGTGTATGGGCGTGTTATATGTGGGCGTGTAAGTGTATGGGCGTGTAATATGTGGGCGTGTAAGTGCATGGGCGTGTAATATGTGGGCGTGTAAGTGCATAGGCGTGTAATATGTGGGCGTGTAAGTGCATGGGCGTGTAATATGTGGGCGTGTAAGTGTATGGGCGTGTTATATGTAGGCGTAAATAATTTATTAATGCTTATAACTCAATTACACTCATACAGTAATTTAATAAAACTCATAACATAACAAAACTCACAACATAATAACGCTAATAACATAACCTTCATAACACTCATAATAACAGTAATAACACTCACTATTAACAAATCACTACCTTCTATCAGGCTAATCACCTTGTCCATCTCAATACATCCACTTGAAGGGGGTAATTACACACGCTAATTACCCTCTGAATGGTTGTAATCTAATATGGTAATGTTCATGTAAAGTCCTTGATGAAGTAGGCACAGTGCCACCTCCGTAGAACAGTGCCAAGAGGGTGACTGGCATCCTCTGTGTGTGTGTGGGAGGGAGGGAGGGAGGGAGGGAGAAAAAGGAGGGAAGAAAGAAGGGAAGAGAAGGAGGTTAGGAAAGAAAGGAATGAAGAGAGGAAAACAATGAAGGGAAGAAAGAAGAAAAAAAAAAAAAAATATGCAGAAGGAAGAGAAAAAGAAAAAACAAAAACAAAAAAGCCCCCTCCCCTCCCCCTCTCCCCTTCCCTCTCTTTCCTCCCCCCTCCTCCCCTCTCTCCCCCTACCCTCTCCCCTCTCTCCCCCCCTACCCCTCTCTCCCCTCCCCCACAAGTAATATATTGGCAAAGTCTTTATCGAACGTCCCAATAATATATATAACAAGATAACAACACGTGATATTATCGTCTCTATGGCCCTCTTGTCATAAGGTCGAGAATCCCTCCACAACCTCTTCCCTCTCTCACGACAGCTTGTACCCCCTACGCTATTGGACGTCGTCTTGTTATTTTCAGCCAATCAGGAGGCTGGAGACACAAGGATGTAAATTGATGTACTGATAGAGATAGATAGATAGATAGATAGATAGATAGATAGATAGATAGATAGATAGATCTTCCTCATCGTTACACAAACCGTACCTAGAGCCTCCACAACCAATAACTGGCTTCAGCACAAACAGACTCTCTAAATAAAAAAACAAAAATATCATCGCCAATATATAACCCGTATGAAACGTCCCACCCGCCACAATACAACCCGGATAAAGGCTTTCAACACCAATATACAATATGGATCAAGTTTTTGTTTTCATCTCTATTGTTTAAACCCTTTCACCACCACTACACAACTCGTATCTACCTTCTCACCACTCCACTATATAAATCTGACCAGACCGCCCATCACCACAACACGAGCCGGACCCAAACCCTCCTCCATCACCATTACACGACACTGAACTAGCACTCTCACCTTACCACTACGTAACCCTGACCAAACCGCCCATCATCATTACACGACCAAACACTCTTCCATCATCACCACTACACAAACCTGATCAAACCTCCCCCCTCACCACTACACAACCCTAATCAAACCCTCTCCCCTCACCACTACATAACCCTGATCAAACCTCCCCTCTCCCTTGATAACGTAACCCTGATCACTCACCTTTGAATTCCTCTGCTTGAGTAACTCCTTGAGAACGGATAGTGGTTGGTCACATTTATCTTCCAGGTGGTCGATAACGAGGGGCAGGTGACGAGGCAGGTGTTCCCGAGGGTAGGTGAAGTGGACGGTCATCTTTTCACCAAGGAAGGGGAAGCAGGTCACCAGGTAAGACAGGTAGGCTCGAGCAATGGCGTACTCCACATCAGGTGTAAACACGGCCACTGACATAGGCGCTTTCCAGTACCTCGCTACCTGTTGAGAAAAATGAGTAAGATTCTAGGCATTTGAGAATATCTAATGAGAAATATTACAGGGTTATATTATCATTGAGGAATATTAGTAGAGTTTGTAGTATGTAGGAGGGATATTTCTTGAACCTGTAATGCCTTTGAGAAATATTTGAATATATTATCATTGAGAAATATTTTTAGCAGCACTTGGGAATTAGCACATAGAAGATAATATTCCAAAAGGGTAAATTAACACGTAATTTCAGGGAGACTAAACCATTACTTCATATGACCTTCAGTATTACACAAGAATATCATTAATTACAGTATTTTAAACCCGCTTGAAATACTGTCGAGAATTTTTCATAATAAAGGAGATAATTTTTCAAAACCTCTCTTGAGAAGTTGTGTAAAGAAGGAAGACATATTGTGAGACATATTGTGAGACATATTGTGAGACATATATTCTAAGACAGACATATGGCATAACCCAACACGGAGGAGGCGCAATGTGATGAAGCTTGAGCCATTGAGTGTGATGATTTAACCAGAAGTAAACAATGGCCTGAGATACCTTCCAGAAACGGCCAGGTTAATTAGGTGTTGACAGGACAGGTGAGAAATAGGCCAGGTATCACTATTATCACTACTACTACTACTACTACTACTACTACTACTACCACCACAACCACCACCACAACCACCACCACTACCTACCACAATCTACCACATCCACCACTACTACCACAACCACAACTACCATCACAGGTGTAGTTACTTGATCACATCATTATAATAATGCCCAGGGCCTTGCAGGTAGCACCCCCCCCCCCTCCCTCCCATTCCAGGTGCTGTATGGATGTTAATGAGAAATCTCTACGGGAGGTGTGAAAGAAAGAAGAGAGAGAGAGAGAGAGAGAGAGAGAGATCAACCCAACCTGACCCATTGACCCAACCTCTCTCTCTCTCTCTCTCTCTCTCTCTCTCTCTCTCCTGCCGTCAACCACCATGAAGGTCGTTGCCATGTCGCCTTTTCCACCTCCCCAATTACGACAGAATCTTTAAAATAAATTGTGATCCTGAGTGAACAGAGATTCTTGTAATTTGAATTTGAATGAATTACCCCCTAATTAGAGTCTAAATTGGCTGGCCTTTACCCTGATTGATCCTTACAATGTCGGGAGGGACGTGTGGGTGGAGGGGAGGGAAGGGGAGGGGGAAGGAGGAGGAAGGGAGAAGGAGGACGGAGGAAGGGAGAGAAGAAGGAGGGAGGAGGAGGAAGGGAAGAATTTTAAGGCGTGTAAGAAAATAATACAGACATTAGCGCACGCACACACACACACACACACACACACACACACACACACACACACACACACACACACACACACACACACAGTGTTAAAATCAGCCCGCGAAAGAAAAGAAAGAAATTCCCACAAAGTTCTTGAAGGCCAAGTGATAGAATTAGATTAGGGAGTCATCAGATCCCGTCGATAGTGACCTGTGATGGTGACCTGGTGTAGAGGAAGGGAGGAATAGAGAGATGGAGGATGATAAGAAAGAGAGGAAGGAGGAAGAGAAAAGAAAACAAATCAACAAAAATCTCATAACAGGAGAGAGAGAGAGAGAGTATATAAGTCTCTCTCTCTCTCTCTCTCTCTCTCTCTCTCTCTCTCTCTCTCTCTCTCTCTCTCTCTCTCTCTCTCTCTCAACACTCGGGCACTTCCAGGAGTCATAAAGGAATTTCCTCCCTAAAATAACAGCGAGACGCCTCTAAAAATATTTCTATCAATACATCACTGCAGGAGAGACTGTGTGTGTGTCGAGGCGTGATATGGTGCGTCAGAATGCGTTAAAAAATCAAAGCATGTGTCGTAGTGCGTCTAATGCGTGTGTGGAATAAACGTAAGATGAAGATAAATGCTCACCCCCCCCCCAAATAATAATAATAATAATAATAATAATAATAATAATAATAATAATGCGTTAAGATAGCTCGGAGGGAAGGGCGTAGGGGATGGGATGGGATGGAGGGACGGGGGAAGTGGGGCAGGGAGGGGAGAAGTGGGAAGGGGCAGGGAGGGGAGAAGAGTGGGGAAGAAGAAGGAGGTGAAAGAAGGAGGGGAGGGGGGAAAGGAATGGAAGGGGGGGGAAAGATGGGAGGGGGAAGAAGTGGGGGAGGGAAGGAAGAGGAAGAAGGGTCAGTGAAAAGAAACCACGGTATCAAATTACAACACGACACAACACAATGCACCGCTGGCAGGAACATAACGCACAGCTCCTGCCAGACGCCACCGCTGTTAATGTTTTTGTCCGAGTGTGTACAGTGGCGATCAACGACCATCATCACTGCACCAGCCGGATGTAAGGCTCTCTCTCTCTCTCTCTCTCTCTCTCTGTCACTTTCTCTCTCTCTTTCTTTCCGCCTTTCTTTATTTATTTCAGTAAATGAGTGTGGACCTCTCTGTAAATAAGTGTACTGTTTTATCACTAAGCATATGGAAATACAGTTTATAAGCTGCTTGTAATGTCAGAGATAACACCGACCTCGTAAAGGTAGTTAAGACAATCAGATACACGCAGGTAATTAGCAATAACATTACCTGGTGGAGTTAGTGACCTGGTAGTGATGTGATAAAGTGATTAACAGAGCTGGCTGACTGACGTGTGTGTGTGTGTGTGTGTGTGTGTGTGTGTGTGTGTGTGTGTGACAGCCTTGACACACACACACACACACACACACCTCGAACCACAACAAAACACAAACACTTTAAAAAGACTCAGACGAACAAACACACAGACACAAGAGTCCTACACCACTCCCTTGATCCTGGTGAGAGCCTTCACACGTTCCTAGCGGCCTTGTCCTAATCCTTGATCAAATCCTTCCAGACTCTGATAGGATACCTCAAGACTCCTGATGACTCGGAGGAGCTTCTTCCCGCCTCACCCATGAAAACAATGTAATTAATCTTTTAGTGAGGCCCTTTTATCTCCACGGTGTGTGTGTGTGTGTGTGTGTGTGTGTGTGTGTGTGTGTGTGTGTGTGTGTGTGTGTGTGTGTGTTTTCTATGTAACCTTCTCAGTAACACGTACATAAACCCACCCTCATACATACACCGTCAGCGTTCGAGTGTCTCCTTAGCCATCCCTGCTTCACCAGTTTTTCCCTCAAGACGTCCTAGTGGAAGACTTTAAAACTTAACACTGGCAACTCTCGACTCCTCCTGGGTTCAGCCTTTCTTTTGTAACTTTCGAAAAACAAAACTGAATAACTTTAATAGACTAATTGTGTGATTTTACGACTATTTAACTAATATAAAAAATAAATTGTTTTGCATATATTTGAGTTCTTTTAAATATACTTCAATATCTTTCTTTTACAAGTTATATGTAAATTAGTTTGATATTTACACGGTATATAAATATTTAACCATTAGGCTTTATTTACAAGGTTAAGTATATTTATATTAGTGGGAAATAATACGGTATATTTCGAAGTTTTAATTACAGCCAGGTGACCGTGAGGGTGTACCTGTCCTCTCCCAAGTCTTATTAATGAAGAGGAATTATATTTACAAATTTACGATAATATCTAAAAAAAATTAGCGAATTATTAGAGCGATTAATGGACGATTATCACCTTAAATTAGAGTTTCTGATTAATATATATTTTTTAATGTATATAATTTCATATACATTATACTAGAGTTATAATACAGTATACATGAGGGTATACTGAACACAGGTTATACAGTATACTCAAGTTACGGGACTAGACGCGAGAATACAGTAATCTAACGAGTATACAGGTGTATTAAGGCTTAATGTATGGTAATTATCGCCTTACCTGTCCAAACTGTTATATTGCCAATTAAAAAATCTATTTATCACTACTAAATAAACACAGGTTAATGAGGTAATTAACTTGTGTTGGTGGGATAATTATTACCTTCATGAGTCAATTACTTTTTCTCCAATAATGAGATAATTAATGTGTGTTGAGCTAATTTATACATACCGTTGAGCTAATTAATACATACTGTTGACCTAATTAATAATGATGAACTAATTAGTGTTAACAGCCGGTGGTTGTGTTGTGGCTGTACAGTACAGGTCAAATACCCGTTCTTCTCCTCAATACACGAAACTCCCTAAATATTTTCTCGCGTTCAGGTACAACAGGTGTGGTATTTAGACATCCTGAGTTAATTATATGCTATATACTCCGCTTAACAACAATAGTAAAACCTCTATTAACGGACTATATGGAGAGAGAAGTTCGTTATATGGAAGTTTTACTGTACTATTACTACTACTACTACTACTACTACCACTACTACTAATAATACTACTACTAAAACTAATACTTTATCTAACAATTTCCTTCAACAAAATACTACAGTAACTAAACAACAATCATAAACAAGTGAAACAAAAATAAACAAAATATTTAACTTTACATTATATAACATCAAACAACTAAACCAGAGGGGATTATACGCCTCGGTCTATAATAACGTGGATAACAGTAATAATTGGGGCCATATAATTCAAACTACTTACTTGTTATAGGGAAATAAAAGTATAAAATATAATATAGGATTTTGTATCTTATGTATCACTACCATAAGGTTGATTTTGTAATTTGTCTCTTCTTGTTATTATTATCCTCGCTACTCATACACGGGGTTATAGATATAGAGGTCGTCCATGTGTGTGTGTGTGTGTGTGTGTGTGTGTGTGTGTGTGTGTGTGTGTGTGTTCCTCATGATAAAGGATTTTACTCCCTATGTAACCAACTATTAAGGCATTTTTACGACGATACTCTGAATGGTGAAAGGTTCCCCCCCCCTAAACTGATGACGTCAGAAGGCCCCTACACCTCCTTATTTAGTTACGACACAAAATTGGCACTCTGGATGGCTTTCAAATTGCGCTGACACCTAACCTAACTTACCCTAACCAAACCAACCCTACCCACCTAACCTAACCTAACCTAACCTAACCTAACCTTGAGGTGTTTTTAATCATCAGAATTTAAGCCTGAGGTGCTTAATCTTCAGGTGATCCTACACCCAAACATGGTCATATTTAAAACACCAACAAAACGACACACACACACACACACACACACACACACACACACACACACACACACACACACACACACACACACACACACACACACACACACACACACACTGAAGGCAGTAAATCCATCTATGTGTCCAGCAGTCACCTTACAGGCCTACTACCACACTTTAAGAGCACTTTTTACTTTACGCACTACTTAACGGCTGCCATAAACCCCACCCCCCTCAGATCATCTCAGCAGTGACGCCCGCCCACCCCAATAGTCGAAGGTTTTTTTAATCTGTCTGTCTTTCTCTCGGGTCGAATTCGCACACCTCTGGCCCCGGTCGGGTATTGTTGTTACCCGACCCATCTGCCAGTCATCTACCCACCTACTGTACCACCTATAGCTGCACAATTCACTAGCCAACACCCACACGTTGTACCCACCTGCGTGAGCCAGAAGAGCCTGTCTACAGAGGTCTGGGTGGCGAGGCAGACGGGGTAGATCCTGGTGAGGCGAGCGTACTGAGGCCCCGTGAACACGTGGTCATGAGTCTTGTACCGTCTTTTGGCGTCCCACCGTCCCATCGCCTCGTCCACTACGAACCCTGAGCCTACTACCACGCCGGGAGGAGAGATGTTCTTCTGTTGTTTCCCTTCGGTGCCTCCGTCAGGGCGCGCGGTAGTCTCCGTGTTGATGGCTGCCGTCCGGAGGAAGGCGAGGTACTCTGTGTGATTGGTGGAGGAGAGAGCCGACGTCCAGGAGTGAGGGACGGCCTCTGGGATGACCACGCCCCCGCATCCCCCGCCGCCCACGCCCACGTCCTCACGCCCATGCATGAGACGCAGGGTGAGGAGGATGTTGCTGGTGGTGAGGGCGACGATGCTGAACATACCCACACCCCACACCTTGCACAGCATCTGTAACGAGACACAGGGGGAGTTAGTACGGTACACACACACACACACACACACACACACACACACACACACACACACACACACACACACACACACACACACACACACACACACACACACACACACACACACACACACACACACACACACACACACACAAGAGGCAGAAACAGTTCTGAGGACTAAACAGTTTTGAATTGGCTTCGTCTGGCCAGCAGCAGAGAGGACAAGGAGGTGGAAGAGGGAGGAAGAAGAAAGAGATGGAGGAGGAGAAGAGCAAGAGAGAGGAGGAGAAGAGGGAGGAATGGAAGCCTATCGAAATCATGTCCTTCCTTCGCTTCATAAAACTCTCATCACCTACCTTTAACCTCTTAAAAAAAATCTTATAAACTTCCCCTCTCCCCCCTTCCTCCCTATTCCCTCCCTCTCATCCTCCAACACATCCTCAAGACCCATTAACCTACAGTAAACCACCTCCTCTACCCTCTTAACCCCCCCCCACCCACCAATCCCCACCCTTAAAATTCCCCTCCCCCCACCCTCCACACACACCCCTCCACACACCTCCCCCACCCTCACACACCCCACCCCACTCCACACCCCCACCCACTCACCCCCACCCCTCACACACACACCACACCCCTCACACACACCCCCCACCCCTCCCACACACACACCCACACCCCTCACACACCTCCCACCCCCTCACACCCCCCCCTCCCACACCCCCACCCCTCACACCCCACCCCTCTCCTTGTACAAAATAACACAATTAAAAAAAAAAAATTCTCCAAACGACCAGACAAAAGGCCCTACTCAGGACCTGGGACCTACCCATCTCCCCCCCATCTCCTGCCTACCCTGTCTGGGGAGGTGGAGGAGGACAGAGAGGACAGGAGGAGGAGACGAAGAGGAGACGAGGAGAAGGAGACGAAGAAGAGGAGATGAGGAGAGACAAGGAGGAGACAACGAAGAGAAGACGAAGAGGAGAGACAAGGAGAGACATACTGGTGAGTTAAACACCTCACGTAATGTTTTGCCTCGTGATCAAAACAGAAACTTGAGATAAAAGTCAGAAAACTCCAGTGAGAAAAAATATAGTAAGATAATTATTAATAAAAAAAACATTAATAGGACTGGAATATAAGGTGGAGTGTGTGTGTGTGTGTGTGTGTGTGTGTGTGTGTGTGTGTGTGTGTGTGTGTGTGTGTGTGTGTGTGTGTGTGTGTGTGTGTGAGTGTGTGTGTGTGTGTGTCTCTGTGTGACGTCACACTCTTAAATTGACTCTTTCCCTCTCAAAAAAATTTAAAAATAAAAATCCGATGACATGAACAACGAATATCAGAAACATATGCCGATGACAGCACCCCGATGACAGCACCCCGATGACAGCACCCCGATGTCAGCAGCCCGCGCCTTCCCCGATGACATATGACATTTGCTTCTCGGATTTCAAAATTGGTTTCCGATTACGAAAGACAAATAATACAATTTAAATAAAAGTTAATTGAATTTTTTTTAAATTAATCGATTAATCATATTACAAAGACTTACAGATTAATAGGATTACTACTATCATCACTACCACCACTTCTACCACCACCCTCACCACCCTCACCCCTTCTACCTACCCTCACCACCCTCACCTTCTACCACCACCCTCACCCCTTCTACCACCACCCTCCACCACCCTCACCCCTTCTACCACCACCTCACCTTCTACCACCACCCTCACCCCTTCTACCACCACCTCACCTTCTACCCACCACCTCACCACCCACAACCCTCACCTTCTACCACCACCCCTCACCCCTTCTACCACCACCCTCACCACTTCTACCACCACCCTCACCCTTCTACCACCACCACTGCCCTTCTACCACCACCCTCACCCCTTCTACCACCACCCTCACCCTTCTCACCACCACCCCTCTACAACAACCACCATCCCCACTACCCCCCCAAGTACATCTCCTCATGAATATATAAGGAGGCAAGCATCATACACCCCGCCACCTCTTCTCCACCCACCCCGCCCACCATACCTCTCTCACCAACCTACGGCCATTAACTTCCTCATGTCTTCCTCTGCCGACAAAAGACTGACGTTCTGACAGGTTTTCGTCATCGGAATATTCTTAAAGAGAGAGAAGTAGGCTGGTCAGTTGAATTGACTGAGTCGAGGACATAGACATTCATTTTTTTTATGTTTACGTTTTTGGCAGGGGAAGCGGAATGGCAAGCGTCCGTCCCACTACGTAAAAAAAAAAATACGAACGTTCTAATCTCCGTGAAAATGGGTGAAAGAAAATAAAATACAAATACAAAAAAAAAGTTACTGATGTCGATTATAACCAACAGCAAGTGATTAAAAGTGACGTATAATTTTCAGATTGAGTCACCACACACCTCCTGACAGTCACCACACACCTCCTGACAGTCACCACACACCTCCTGACAGTCACTGCACACCTCCTGACAGTCACTACACACCTCCTGACAGTCACCACACAACTCCTGACAGTCACTACAGACTATATCAGACATGTTTGTACCCCTCCATCCATAGTTCCCACCCATGTCACTGTAGTTCCCACTCTTTCAGTGAACTTCAGGAAAAACGATCGCTACTGTGGCTCAGGAGTTCACAGCTGTTAAAACTCTCAGAACTCCCAGCGACTTGTGATTTCAGAGTTGAGTTCTTCCTCTTATCCTTCTTCCTTCTCCTACTCCTCTTCTTCCTCCTCCCCCCTCCTCTTCTCTCCCTTCCTCTTCCTCCTCTTCTCACCCCCTTCCTCCCCCACTCACTGGCCTCTCCCTTCCCTTGTGCTCTCCCTCTCTTCTCTCCCTTCCTCTTCCTCCTCATGCCACACTTACCCCTCTCTTCTCTCCTCTTCTTCCTCCTCCCCCCTCCTCTTCTCTCCCTTCCTCTTCCTCCTCTTCTCACCCCTCCTCTTCTCTCCCTTCCTCTTCCTCCTCCCCCTCCTCTTCTCTCCCTTCCCTCTTCCTCCTCTTCTCCCCCCTCCTCTTCTCTCCCTTCATAAACATGCCTCCCCCCTCCTCTTCTCTCCTTCACTCTTCCTCCTCTTCTCCCCCCTTCCTCCCCCCTCCTCTTCTCTCCCTTCCTCTTCCTCCTCCCCCCTCATCTTCTCCCCCTTCCTCTTCCTCCTCCCACACCTAAATGGGTTCTCTTCTTGCGTCACCATTCGCAGCTTCGTTCTTTAGGCACTCAGTTGTAATTTAAATTCAAGCGCTTAAGTTCTTGTTGAAAACTTTTTGGTTAGGTTAGGTTAGGTTAGGTTAGGTTAGGTTAGGTGAATTGCGTAAATAACAACTAAGAGGAGGAAGAAGGAGGACGAGGAAGAGGAGGAGGAGGAAGAGGAGGAAGAAGACCAGGGAGAGAAAGAAGAAGAAGAGAAACAAGAGGAAGAGGACACCCACACACACAACTCTTTTAGGCGAGACGGATTCTAAGTTTCAAGAAGAATTGGTTGTGTCACTTTAGGCTGAGACAAGAGTTTGACAAGAGAAATAACTATATGAAGAGATCGGTAAACACACACACACACACACACGCACACACACACACACCTGTAGTACATTATCCTGCAACGCCCTATAATACACTCTCTCTCTCTCTCTCTCTCTCTCTCTCATATATCAATCTATCTACCCGTCTACCTATCCTCTCTCTTTTATGTCTATCTATCTATCTATATATCTATCTATCTATCTATCTATCTAGAACTGTAGTGGGGTATTTATTTGTTATGCTCGTGGCGCCGTCCAGTAATTGGTCTGTGTCTGTCTGTAATTATTTCCCTTGAGAAGATGAATGGCCAGAGATAAGACAGACAGACAGACAGACAGACAGACAGACAGACAGACAGACAGACAGACAGACAGACAGACAGACAGACAGACAGACAGACAGACAGACAGACAGATAGACAGACAGACAGACAGACAGGCAGACAGACAGACAGACAAACAGTGATAGATAGATAGAGACAGACAGACGAACGAACAGACAGATAGACAGACAGGCAGATAGACAGGCAGACAGACAGACAGACAAACAGTGATAGATAGACAGACAGACTCACAAACAAACAGTGATAGATAGACAGACAGACAGACAGACAGATTCACAAACAGACAGATACATAGATAGATAGATTGACAGATACAGACAGACAGACAGACCAGAGAGCAACAGTAATGCCGGGGTAAACATCAACAAGTATTATGCAAATTGTATGCAAATTACATTACTGATTTACTCTCGTTAACAACATTATGAGAGTCAACGAAGGTCTATAGCAACACAGACGACTTACAATAACAAGAACAGTCCAATAAAGTTCTATGTATGTATGTATGTATGTATGTATGTATGTATGTATGTATGTATGTATGTATGTAGTGATAGGTGTTTTTTAAGCCTACATTAAGTAAAGGTAAGGTAAGGTAAGGTAAGGTAAGGTAAGGTAAGGTAAGGTAAGGTAAGGTAAGGTAAAATTAAGTAAGATTAGATTAAATTAAGGTAATTAATCCTTAGGTAATCCTCCAATTTTACTCATAACTCAAAACAGACCTAAAAAAAATATAAAAACCCTAAATTTCAGCTACAAATTTTAAACACAATTTTTTTAATAAATATAATCTCACTCACAACACAAGGCTGAACCAATTGACCACCACAACCCCCCCCCCCCAAGCCATTGTTTACTAGAAATCATTTAATTGAACTACCAGGGTGATCAGGTGAATTAAAAAAAAGGGTGAAATAAAAAGGTAAAGTCCCCAGGTATAAAATATTAATTAATGGATCTTTTCACCTGGGTGTAAATTGTCGTGTTGTGAATTAATGAGATATTAAGCCTTTGGACAACACAACATACCAGTAGCCTACCTGTAATACCAGTAGCCTACCTGTAATACCGGTAGCCTACCTGTAATACCAGTAGCCTACCTGTAATACCGGTAGCCTACCTGTA